ACCTTAATATAGTTGTGTTGTGACGGTTTTAATAAAGAAATTGTAAAGATAATCTAGGTTATTATGAATTGAAGAAGCGTAAATCATGGTTTGACAAAGGATTCTCAGAATTATAAGATCAAAGGAAACAAGCCAAATTGCAGTGGTTACAGGATCCCAGCAAAATAAATGAGGATAATCTGAAAAATATAAGCTGTGAAGCCAGAAGACATTTCAGGTATATCAAGAGAGAATGTCTGAAAGACAAAATTAATGAACTTGCAATGAACAGTAAGAGCAAGAACAATACAGAGACCTGTATAGAGGAATAAATGACTTTAAGAGGGGTTACCAGCCTAGCAGTAACTTAGTGAAGGATGAAAATGGTGATCTGCTTGCAGATTCCCACAACATTTTGTATAGGTGGAAGAACACTTCTCTCAGTTATTGAATGTACATAGGGTCAGTGATGTTAGACAGATAGAAATACATACTGCTGAGCAGTTAGTACCTGATTCTAGTCGTTATGAGGTTGAAATTGCTATTGCAAAGTTGCAGAGGGTATAAATAGACAGGCAGTGATCAAATTCTGGCAGAACTGATTCAAGCAGGAGGTGAAACATTACACTTTGAGATCCATAAGCTCATTAATTCTGTTTGGAGTAAGGAAGAATTGCCTGATCAGTGGAAGGAGTCTTAATATTTTACCAATTCACAAGAAGGGTGATAAACTGTAGTATTATCATGGGATATCACTGCTATCCACTTCATAACAAAATTTTATCCAGTTTCCTCTCAAGGTTAAAACAAAGAACTTTGCCTTGGATTTCGCTACTTATAGTAATGTGTATCATGAACAATGATAGAATTCCAGCTCCCCACCCTCTTCCTTATTGAATTAATGAGCTGTGAAGAATTTAGAAACATAATGAAGTCTCCCTGTGTTATATGTATGCTTATGGTAAAATCATTATCTTAATTTTATTGTAATATGTACATTGCTGTTTGTTTAGGTCTTGTATCGTAACTCAACAAAATTTAGGCCCTACAATCTTGCTATCCCAGGCTGTGCTGCTGTTTGTCCCCTGGAGAAGTTTGCTGATCTCCTGAAGCCAGTTATTCCCGTCAACTGGGAGAAAGAATGCAAGATGGGTATTTTCTCTGATGATTTTGCCTTCAATTCACTTGCTATTTTAGGTCAGTATTTGATCCTAAATCTGATATTCATGCATTTTTTTCTTTCATTATTTCCTTTGTTCTTCTTTATATTTTCCCGCTTCCTTCATCTGTTTTGGCATAAAATTCTCAAAACAGAATGAGACATGCTGTTTGATTATGCTGCTCAAGTGGATTTGTTGTAACTTTTCAAATTTTCTTGTAGGAATTCTCAGACTTGGGTTTTTTATGCCTTGAAGGAACAGGTTTTCATAGAAATGATTTGCCTTTTAAAATTTTTAAAAATGTCATATTTGTTGTGATTTGAAGAGTAGAATTCAAGAAAGAGTATGAGTATGAGGGGTGAGCCATAAAACTGGCCCTAGCACTGTGACCTTCACTGGTATATTGAGCTTCCCCTTTGGATTAACACTTCATTAATGCTGCACTTCGAATGAAATGTAAGACTTTGTTTATGGGGGCATCATAAGTGTCACTTGGTTCCATGAAGAATTGACCCAGGTGGCAATATCTTAAATAAGCTATAGTCTCACAATCACATAAGATGTGTGTGTGGCTGATTCATCTTCTTGTAAGCACCTCTCACAAGTTGGGTCCTCTGTCAGTCCCAGTTTGGAAAGGTGTCCATTTAGGTGGCAGTGTCCAGTACAAGAAGAAAGAGTAAGGGTAATTTTTGTTACACCATTAAAACGTGTTTGATATATGTTCAAAAACAGAGAAAGAAAGTGCAGTGCAGTGCAGTGCAGTGTTATATACAGTGATAAACAGTAGGTTGCTATAATATCGTATACGGCAGAGAACCGCATTTAGAAAGCGAGTATCTGCTTAAGGATGAGAGCAACTGAGATAATACAGAGGGAAAAGTGTACATGTTTCTTGTTGATTCCAGTTGTGTTGCTTGCCAATATATCATGGCTATAAAATTAGAATATTCTCATTTTTTATCTGATGTACAAGACCTACAAATTTTCTTCATGTATAGGAATTAGTCAGATATAATCTTTTCAAATATACAAGTATATTTCAAACAGTGAGGGTTGCAGAAGCATACTTTATAGTCATGACATGGATTCATTACCATTCATTCCTCAGTTTTTGTGAATCGTAGTATAAATACAGGGTCCAGCAAACCGACCTCCCGTATTTGGAGAGGGCGCTGTATGAGTTGTGGTGGGGATACGGTGGCAGAGGGGGTATCGATCAATAGCAGTATAAGTGCCATTTTCAGTAGTCGCAATGGCGTGGCACGGTGAGCATCGTGCGTTTGTTGTGGAAGAGTATATTCGTAATGGTGAATCGGTGATTACTACTCAGCGAGCATTTCGCATTCAGTTCGAACTTGGCCGACATGATCCTGTTCCGGATAGAAAAACTATTCACGTTTGGGTATCAAACTTTAGAGCAACAGGTTCTGCACTGAAAAAGAAATCGCCTGGCCGACCTCGGACCGTAACAACGCCGGAAAATGTGGCACGTGTGAGAGCGTCCATCCAGCAATCTCCAAAGCGTTCAGCACTTAAACATGCAGCTGCCCTGGGATTGTCTGATAGGAGTGTAAGAAGAATCTTGCACAGAAATCTACACATGCACCCATACAAAATGATGGTTACCCAAGAATTAAGTGAGAGAGATTTTGAAACTCACAAAGCTGCGTGTGAGGACATTCTTCAGAACATTCCCTCTGGCGCTGTTTTGATTTCATCTGATGAGGCCCACTTCCAGTTGTCAGGTACTGTAAATAAACAAAATTTCCCCTACTGGTCAGCAGAAAGCCCTCAGGAACTTTACCAACAACCACTTCACAGCCCTTGTGTGACAGTTTGGTGTGCCGTTGCTGAATTTGGTGTGTGGGGTCCTTATTTTTTCGAGGAAAATGGGCTAACGGTAACGGTTACTTCGAATCGCTACTGTCACATGATCGAGACCTTCCTCCGACCTAAGTTAAACCAGTTTGTTGGGGACCATGAAGAGGGACAAGCCTGGTTCCAACAAGACGGAGCCACAGCTCACACTTCGCGGCGTTCTTTAGCAATTCTGAGAGAGTTGTTTCCTGGACGTCTTCTCTCATTGCGAGGAGACATCGTCTGGCCCCCAAGGTCACCCGATTTACCACCTTGTGATTTTTTTCTTTGGGGACACTTAAAGGCGCAAGTGTACAAACATCGCCCCACAACCCTGCAAGCACTTAAGGAGGCAATCACCCAGGCAGTGGCTGCCATTCCACCGGAAATGACACGAAGAACTATGGACAACTTCCGGGAAAGGCTTCGTCAATGTGTGAACAATGGAGGACGCCATTTACCGGAAATAATTTTTAAAACCAAGTAATGTAAAATAGCATCGTATTTGTTGTTCACAAATAAAAGTATTTTTTCTGTATCTTTGTTTGTTTGTTTGTAACTGCCTTTTGAAATACGGGAGGTCGATTTGCCGGACTCTGTACTAGGCATGTGTGGGAATGACTTTTTCTGTTCAAGTTGAGAATAAGGATTTTCAATTTGGGACCAATATTATAATAATAATAATAAAAATAAATCTATCTTAATTTTATTTTATTTTAACTTAATTTAAATTTAAAATTACTTTTAACCTGATATATTTTCAGTTTGCATAAGAATTATAACTGATATTGCAGTACACAGTAGCATAGTTGAAGCACTATTCTAAAAGCTGGAAGGTTGCAGGTTCGATTCCTGATGAGGCCATTGGATTTTTCAGTTGACCTAATCCTTCCAGCTACACTATGGCCCAGGGGTCGACTCAGCCTCTGACAGAAGTGAGTACCAGGAATCTTCCTGGGGGTAATAGGTGGCCAATGCAGGAGGCTGAAAACTTTACTAAATATGGGATGTTTCCTCCTATTCATATATTCTTTATATTTTCAATTATTTTCAAATACAAATAAATTAATCATAAAGATGTAAAGCAAACTATAATTTCATTAAATTTATAAATTATTCTGTCATGAATTCATAACTCTTTTGTTTCCAGCTCTGATGGTGAACTGTATTTTGGCTGTGTTGCTCGTGTTTTCTGTGGTTTTTGGAATTGCATACTGGAGGAAACAGAAGGTATCCTCAGGTTACTGCTATCACCAGCTTCGGCAGGATATCGATTAGTGCAGTTTGTTGCTGTCTTGTCTTTCATCCGGACAGATTGCCAGACATGAATTTTGTGTGAGATGAAAACTTTACAGGATATGAGTCAATTTAGTTAAGGTATTGTGGTGTTGAGCCTAAAATTTATACTTACTGCTGAAGTATTTAGGTGAAGTATATAAATGTAATACAAAATATTCCAAAAAATATATACTTTATATTCTGAACATAAATTGTGTCATTGTAGATGGTGCATCAAAATCGGTGTTCACTCCTCAGGAAATGGAATGCATGGACTCTTCCCTTTTCAGTCAAAATAAAATATCGCCATTCCACTATGGTATTAAATTAATTCTCTGCATTTTTTTAAGGTTTCCAAATGTTTCAGCTGTTCCAAGGCTCCAGGTTGACTGACTTGTTCCATTACTACACAAAATCTGCTTGCTGTATCTTCTACAGGGAAGTCAAGCCCAGACCTGAAACTTGGCCATGTCAAAAATGTTTTCTGGACTCTGAAATATTGCAACAGTATTAACTTTGAAGAAAGCAGTCTTCTGAGATGTGGCACCGTGTAGATGTGGTGTTAACTGACGTTTCAGAGGAACGTATCACCTCCATCTTCAGGCTAGAAGGAAAAATAAAATGTTTCCAACAACAGTCCAGTCTGCTTGCACCGGTTCTTACTGTCTCTTTGCTTGTGAATTTTTTTATTTTTCCTTCTACCCTGTAGATGGAGGCGATACGTTCCTCCAAAACGTTGGTTAACACATCTACACGGTGCCACATCCAAGAAGACTGCTTTCTTCATAGTCACCGCCATGAAAACCTCAAATCTTACACAGTATTAACTTTACTTGTTGAATTATATCTTGATACAGGCGCAAATTAGATATACAAATTTAATATATCTATCACAGTACCTGGTTGGGTATTTTCAAAGGCAAGCAACAAGTGGTGGTCACGCAGTCAGTATAGTTTGCTTGCAGGCTACAGACCACAGAGTTGAGTTTAGTTTAGTTTACTTTACTTCAGTTCAGGTTTCATGAATAAGGTTAAGATAATAGATCATCAATCAGTCCTGTGGTATAGCAGTTAGCGATCGGGTATAAAACTTTGCCATCAAAAGAACACTGGGCTGTTTAATTTGCTATACTATGATTAGACATAATGAAAAATGTAATAGAAAGTCAGATTCTTCATACCAAATATGGTATATATTAAAAATTGGTCATGCAAAGAACCCCAGAGGTACTCTGAATGCATCTGACAGTACTGAGGGATGAAGGTGAAGATGTGTGTCCCATTTTGTTCACATAACTAGATTCCATTACATTCCTTTGTATATGGCTGTGATGAGTGCACTGTTTCATGTTCATAAAAATGTTTCCTATAAAAGTGGTACAGTGTTTGTTTATAAGTCAGAGATACTGAGAATTCAAAGAGAGAAAGAAATGTAGGTACAAATATGATTTTACAACTTAACTTACCATCTGATACACAATAGTAATCTTCCATTTAGCTTTGAAACTCCAGAAATAACTTTTCAGTGCATATAATGAAGTTTGTATTGAGTCTGTTGATTGTGTACATGAATCAGTAAACTCCTTTGTCTCTCATGTTCTTATGTCTAGAATATGTAACTAATTATAACACTGCTCTTTCATCATCCTTTGAAGTATTAGATATAGTTGGCCTGTCACAGGTATGAAGTCATGGTATATGGTTTTCCTTCATTGGCAGTTACAAGATTTTTGATTGTCAGAGAAACCACTATTTATCATGAAAGCTCACTGCTGGAGTCTGTCCTGGACCAGCTCAGCTGTGCTTGTATATGCATTCTCTTCTTCCCAAGTAGCCTCTGTTCTTAAGGTTTTCAGTCAATTGTTTTATGTTTATTTCCAGTATTCATTCTTGCTGTAATTATTTTAATATAAAATGAAGTTNATAGAAAGTCAGATTCTTCATACCAAATATGGTATATATTAAAAATTGGTCATGCAAAGAACCCCAGAGGTAAACACCTTAAAGCGTACTCTGAATGCATCTGACAGTACTGAGGGATGAAGGTGAAGATGTGTGTCCCATTTTGTTCACATAACTAGATTCCATTACATTCCTTTGTATATGGCTGTGATGAGTGCACTGTTTCATGTTCATAAAAATGTTTCCTATAAAAGTGGTACAGTGTTTGTTTATAAGTCAGAGATACTGAGAATTCAAAGAGAGAAAGAAATGTAGGTACAAATATGATTTTACAACTTAACTTACCATCTGATACACAATAGTAATCTTCCATTTAGCTTTGAAACTCCAGAAATAACTTTGCAGTGCATATAATGAAGTTTGTATTGAGTCTGTTGATTGTGTAGATGAATCAATAAACTCCTTTGTCTCTCATGTTCTTATGAAATGGTTTGATCTTCTTTTAGCCGTTCTCCTTATGCTTCAGTGCCAGGTGATATAAATATAGCAGATGTTCATAAATTTTTATTCTATATGTTTTGGGGCAGAGTAATGATTTCAAAATGTTATTTAGAATAATGTGACATGACACCAGAAAGCTTGAATAGTGGAGCCAGAGGAGACATACATACATTGCTAGCCAATGGTGCAATAAACCTGCTTTTACAACGATGAATACTTGCAACAGTAAGAGAACTGTTGGAAGTGGTGTTTTCTATGCAGTCTGTGCTGAGGCTATATAACGAGAACCAACAGGACAAGTCAGAATCAACAGAAAAATATGGGTCATGGGTCTTGCAACCAAGAATGACTGCTTGTGAGGGTCAACAGTAGTTTGCCACACAGAAAGTCAGAACTGTCAGTCAACAGGCAGTCATAGTTGGGGAAGGAGAAATATGGTCATGAGTCCTGTAAGGCCCGAAACCAAGAATGACTGTGTTGGTAAAGACCAGCAGCAATTCACCCAAAACCAAAGTGAGTTTGTAATTTGGCACTTTTATGTAGTTGGTTGTTAGCCATGAGCAGGGAAGCAGAGAAATCTACAATGTTAGAAGCCACTACCAAGCAGCAACTAGTGAAGACAGAGAAGACTTAGTGTGTACAGTAGTTATTTGTAATGTGTGTAGATTAGCAAGAGTATTATAATTATTTGCAGTATTTGTATTTCAGTCACAAGCATTCAATAAATTCAGTTACCAGTCCATACCCTGTGTCTAGTTACCAACGGAAACAATAAGGATTTGAACATAGGTGATAGTTTTATATTCTGAAATTGAAAATATTAACTAGTTCCAGTCCTATTTTCATTTGTTGGTTTTTGTGCTGTTATAAATGTCATAAGAGGCCATGATTTGGATAGACAAAAGTAACAAAAAAAACACTGCCTCTGATGGGAATTTGTCCCAGAGAAATTAATTTCAGTATATTGACACTATTAATTTGTATACAATGTTTATAGTGCAACAAGTGATCTATGTTCACTGTTTCCTTACTTGGCAACCTTTTAACGCATCAGCCTGATCACTACGCAGCATTATGGCAGTATATAAATCACAAATGAAAGTAAAACAACTGTAATGGATATAATAAGTTTTCTGTGTGTATCACTAAGTAGCAGCATAATCCAGCTTCATGAGTCTTAGGTAGCAGACATGCATATGCATGTTCAGAGGCTAGTTTCACTAGTCAAAATGGCGATCATGCTTGAGGAGTATGTGGTCTGACAATAAAGTTTGTGAAATAATCGCAGTAAAAGTGCTACATATCTCACTGCTGAATATCACTGTGGTCGCCTTCAAAGTACTCCCCTTGGGAAGCTATGCACCAATGCCAGTGCCTACTCCACCCTTCAAAACAAATTAGACCTCGTTTTGTGGAATGGCCTTCAGAGCTGCCATTGTATTACTCCTGATATCATCAGTGTCATCAGAATGCCTTCCTTTCTCTTTGGGAACAGAAAAATGTCACTGGGGGCTAGATCCAGTGAATAGGGAGGGTGTTCAAGCACGTTTATTTGTTTACTAGCCAAAATCTCCCTCACAGACAGTACCATGTGAGCAGGTGCATCATCGTGATGCAAGATCCATGAGTTGCTGGAAAAAAAAATTGGCTTGTTTCCATCTAATTTTGTCATGCAGCCTTTTCAGTACTTCCAAATAATAAACTTGGTCGGCTGTACGTCTAATTTGTACAACCTAATAATGAACAATCCATATAATATCAAAAAAGTTAGCAACATTATTTTGACTCTTGATTTGGACTGATAGAACTTTCTTGGTCATGGAGAATTAGCAGTCTTCCATTGTGCACTTTGCTGCTTCGTTTCAGGGTTGTAATGGTAGACCCATGTTTCATCACCTGTGATGACAGCCTCTCCAAAAGGTCTTACCAAATTCTGACTCTTCTTTGCTTTTGTTCTTTGGTGAGCTCCTTTGGGACCATTTTTGCACACACCTTCCTCATGTCAAGATCTTCAGTTAAGATTTTTCAGTTTCTCTGTTGATGTTCACTTGCTGTGCTATGCTCCTGATAGTCAACTGATGATTTTCATGCACAGTTTGATGAACTTTTGCAATGTTTTCTTCAGTTCTGCTCATTGCTGGCCTTCCTGCTCTCTCTTCGTCACTGACACTTTCTTTTCTCTCAAAAAACGTATAACTGCTCGTAAAGTGCTGTTTTCTTCATAGCATCCCTGTAAACTTGCACTAACATCTCCCTGATTTCACTTCCACTCCCGCCAAGTTTATCAAGAAATTTAATATTCTCACAACGGCACACTAAAACTCTCACACAATAATAAACACAACTCAGAAAGAGACTACCATAGATCAACAACACAGCTGTGAATCGCTTACATGCCAATTGTACATTCACAAAATGCTCATAGTAGATAAGCAAATTAATTATTTCAGTGTAGTGTACAGGCACTTTCAGTAACCTTGTCTTTTTCCAGTAGGAATATATGAAAGATTTAAGTAAATTGTTTTTATAATAGTGGGGGAGTGACGGAGGAAGAGCTGTGTGCTCTCTCCCGTTCTGTCTTGCATGCTTGGGTATGGATAAAAGTAAATCATCATGAAGAAACATGCACATTTGTAATGTAGTACTGGTTTCTACAGTTCATGGGAAACCTAAAGATGGCAAATGCAGAGCAATTAGCCAAGTGTTTTCTGGGGTACAAAAGTTTGAGTGTGTGACAGCTTTCAGTAACATCATAGCAAGCAATATCATTACTTAAGTTGTTTACAAAGCGGCCTCCGTAATCTAGGGGTAACGTTCCCACCTCATGACTCAAGGTACGCGGGTTCAAACCCGGCGGAGGTCGTGGAATTTTTAAGGGTGGAAAAATTGAGGGAACAAATCCTCTGGGAGGGACTTTAAGCCGTGGGTACCGTGTCGTAGCTTTACGGCACGTAAAAGTACCTCGTCCCAAGGGGACCACTGAGCCAAATTCAGGACATTTCCCGACCAACAGTAGTCTGTAACGCCTCTGATAGATGGGGCAAGCATTATAGATACCACCAAGCCAGTAGAGGCTGAACTCGCTGGCTCGGTCGGGACTGATGGCACACACCAGTACCGGTAGGGAATAGAGACTGGTAGAATATCATAGGGGGATGCACAATGGACCAACAGTTGGTCTAAGTGCATGGGGAAACCCACCCTCTCCAATACAATACAATCAGTTGTTTACATTAAGAAAAACTTTCACTAGGTTGAAATATGAATAGAAATTTGTCAGCAGGCTTTGTGTTCAATTTAACTTCTGTTTCACAAATTACATGCATAGTAATTGAAAATACATAGGCAGGACAGTACTTAGTTGGAATATTGTAGCAAAATAAAAATGTTTACCCTCAAGAATTTTATTTACCTTAACTGTGTTGCTCCTACAAGTTGCCTTCATCATTTAAACATTCTACATACAATCAGTCATAAAACAATTCCAATACCATACCATACCATTTCAATGATTAAAACTTTTTTTTTTATCTTTAGCTATCGTAATGAATGTTACAAAAATACATGTGGAAAATTTGTTACATACAACTCGCCTCATTGGCATGTACATGGCCAAGACACAAATTTCTGACCTTCACTTGAAATATCTTTGGTTATTTGCAGTACCAGTAAATGTTTCCTCTCTTTATGTAAGTGACATAATGGTTCACTGTGTTGGCTGCCAAATAAAAAGAGAGACCAACACAGGAGTTCATAATTTCAAAAGACATGAAAGAGATCACATACAATGAATGTGTTTTTGGATTACACTGAATTCTTATTTATTATATAACATTAAAAATTCTGAGAAAATAAAATTTGGCCTGTAGCAGTATGGTCAAATTTCACTTCCATATCAACAGTTTAACACTTGTTTTGTTCTTCCCATTCCCAGGAATGATAAATCTTCACCTTTTAGAAACAGATTAAAGTTATGAGAGTTGAAGAATATATCATGTTTATTAGGTCATATGTTTGCATCAATGCCTGTATGTTGTAAAAGCATATACCATATTTGTCTGGATTTACTGTATCTGCAAGTATAATGCACACTCCAGTTTTAAAAGTGTAAATTGAAGATTCTTTTTTACATACAAATTATAGAAAATTTCGGAGTACATTAAACAACTATCAGAGTATTAAACGTTTTTGGAAATCTTCAATTTTAGTTTAAATCTCAGAGCATGCTTGAATATGTCATTTAGGAAGTATATGGAGGAAAAAAAGGGCATTATTTAGGCACATACAGGATTTAATTTAGGTTTTACTGAGATAATCCCATTTTTTCCTTTGACTTTAGAATTCTGCGAAGTATAAATTATTTTACATTAGCAAAAATACATGCATAAATTAGGAAATATGCATCTTCATTTGAGAACAGACCACATTGGCTGTTGCTTAAAAAACCATGAAGATTTTCAATACAGTATATTTTTAACATCGCTTAGTACATCTATTAGAGGCTACTACCCCTTGAACAGATCAGCATCCTTCCTCACATTTGATAATGCAGAATATCACAAAAGCCTATTAATGCACTTGTAAAGTATAACAATGGCATCACAACCAGATCTCTCAGGTGCACTTAATCCTGGAACAGACCAGTTCCTTAAAATACTGCAAATCTATTAAGGATTCCTAATCCCTGAATAGAACCAAATCCTAAAAAACATTTTCATCAGATCTATTAGAGGCTCCTACCTCTGGAACAGATCTTATTCCTTCAACTACAAGTTTCATAATGTTCAATCCTACAGATCCATTAGGAGTTCCTACCCCTAGAACAGATCTAATGTATATAATACACATACTAAAGTAGAAGATGGAAAAGGTTTCTTATTGATCATTTGATTCATGTGTCTGAAATCTGTGTGGGGAATTATTTGTACATAAAGTGTACTTTAACTATCAGGAACAAGTTAAGTGAAAGTTTTGTTATAGCAGGAGGGCACATGTTAAGGATGAAAGAATTGATAGAAGAGGAAAAATCAGAATATTAAAATTAATGTGGAGAACACTGCCTTGCAGATGTCCATCTAATTACTTTCAAATTAACGACTTGCATAATTTGAATCCATCAAATTGCCCTAGTTTCAAAGGATAATTATTTTAAAAGAATTCTGTTAGTTGAAAGCTAACTAGTATTCCACATGAAATTCCTAATATGTTGAGTTTGGGGAAATAATGTAATGAAAAGGTTCCAGTCAGGTAATTTCCCATTCCATCTTCATAATTTTAATCATGACTATTTTTACATATAACCTCTGTCTGCACAATTAACATTGGTTACACTTAGAGATAGTTATATCAGCTAGTTTTTAAATTACTATTATTATTATTATTCCTTCAGTGTTTATACTATAATGTGTCTGTAAATTATCTGGTGAAATTTATACATACCTAGTTCTCCTGCTCTCCAGAAACCAGCTCATAGAAATTATATTAAATTTTACATTTTTATGGCAATGTGCCACGTATAAGATGTGTTGAATTCATGAGCTGAGTTTAGAACATCACAACACTCTTTATGTTCAGAACTTATGCACATTTGAGGCTGTGGACAGATTTAAGTTGGCCTTTGGGAAGAATTCAGACAGGATTGAACTTGTAAAAGTTCAGTGCAGCTGATACAACATTCCAAGTGTAAACAAGGCAAGCTAAAACAATCCCCATAGATTAACAATATTAAAATATTTTGATTTAAACCTATAGCTACAGAAATTAATATCACAGCTCTATCGATTTAAGAACCATCAACAATTTGTATGAAATAATTAACTCTATTTAATCATATATAATAGTCCTACTAATAAAATATAATTTTTGTCTTAATCATATATAATATTTCTACTAATAGAGAATGTAAATTTTATTCTCCTTTACTTTTTCACTTAATAAATCAAAGTGCTGAAATGTGTTGTCATTTCATGTGGATATGAATATGATGTAACCAACCTCCCCTGCAAATTCCCAAGTATTATTTAGAAATATAATATGAATGCATGATGAAATGATAATTGGATATTTTCAATTATACTGACATTTGAAGAGTACAGTCTTCTGGGTTGTGTAATGCATTGTAGTTTGGCATGTCTGTCAATGTTTTGGAGGAACATCTTGCCCCTGTCTTCAGGCTTGAAGTAAGCCAAGCATGAAACCAGCAATGACCAGACAATAGCAGAGTGAGCCTGCTTATTGCTGGTTATAGAAGTAGCATGTTCCTCTGAAACACTTATTGTCTTTACCAGGGTACATGGCCCAGAAGATCATACTCTTCATATTCACCACTGTGAGAACCTTGAATCCAACAATCTGATATGTATATCAAAATGTCAAAAGTTTGTTTTGCATGATTAAATGCAAAATCTAAAAATAATTTGCATGAACAATGTAAATAGAACAGTTTCAAAATATATATATTTTAAAACATATGGTCTTAAAATTGTGTATATAACTAATATCTCATAATTATCAACAGATTTTTAATGTTAAGAAGATCTTTCTGCTGCAGTACTGTATTATGGCAAAACTGAAATAATGGCCAGCATTAAGCAATACTCTGCAGGTACACATGTCAATCCTTAGCAGCAATGAGCAATTTGTAAATGTGAGAACTTATGTAATGTTCCTTAAATATCACAGTAACCACATCTTTGGAGGAATCATTTTTAAATTAATAGCAGTAATGAGGCTTTTTGTCAAGTAACAGCAGTTATGTCACTCTGTAGATGACAACTCAAACAGAATGCAAGCTAGGACATTTTGGAAGCATTTATGATATGCACAGGTACCGTTTTGATCATACTATAGTAACTTTCCTAACTACTTTGGCTGTATATTTAGTTGAAATCTGTGAGTTTTAGAAACATTGAAAAAGCAACCAGCAAAAATATGATGAATATTGTGATTCATAAAGCAGTCTGCACAGATACAAACAGAGATGTCCTAAAATTTGTACCTAGATTTCATCATGTATATGCTGTTACTATTTGATACTAATTCACACAAGATAAATTCACTGGCTAATAACTAACATTACCTAATGAAAACCAGGAATACAATTGCAACTTCCCTTTTTAATCTCTGGAAGAAAATATTTAGAGGAACTGTATCGTATACAAGTAATAACCCAGCAGTAGCACAAGATACATTACTTATGCACTGTGACGTTTGTAGTTACTAATTAAGAAACTGAAATGCAGTGCATTTCATGTAGTTAAAAAGTGTGACATAAATATAATTGAATCTACATTTAATGTTCCCTGATTTAAGGTTACCCCTCATTTAGTGTTCAAATTCTGTAGTTCCAGCTCCATTATCTCAGTGCAGTGTTCAAATCTAATGTTTGCTAGAGAAACATTAAATGAGAGTGTCACTGTATATACAGTCACATCAGACCTTTTCTTTCAGTCTCCTACAACACAATATATTATCTGAACCTGACATCTCCATTTTGATGAGAATATTAGCACATCTTCGGTTGAGTATTTGGTAAAGCTTGAACTCTTACTCCACAATTTTGTTTACCACTTATTGTTTTCCACTTGCGCTTACTTTTTGTTCCATGTTCCCAGTACATCTTCTTGTATTGTGAATGTTGATATACTGCTGAAAAGAGAAATTCCTGAATTATTTCATGCATGGTAATTTGTAATTATCTGACGGTACCAATATTATATTTAAGCATCCTGTTACACTCTGTACAATATATGATATAAATTCTGTCCTAAATGTAAATTTATTGTAGGTCTTTCGTTTTGCCTTCTTCTACACTACATGTTTCGGCCGCAAACGGCCATCATCAGGTGTATACACTCACGTAGCTGTTACACTGCACCCAGTTTAAAATTTAAAAACACACAGGTCTTCCCAATTGGCTAACAGGTTCTACTTCGCTGCTATCTGTCTGATTCGTACATCATCTTTGTCACCCACACACGTCAATTTTGACATTCATGAACTGGCACTTTTAAAATCTTCAGTTCCAATTTAGAAAACTCCTTTCAAATTTTAAATTTAAAATTAAAATTCTCAGGGTTACTTGCCCCACGTCTATAGTGCTGCAACGGCTACTTCTGTTTTCAGCACTGTAAGGTGTTATTCTGTGTAGGCTCCCTGTGTGCACACATAGTAAAGATAAGCAGTGGCACGCACACAGGGAGCCTACACAGAATAACACCTTACAGTGCTGAAAACAATGTTTTTAAATTTTACTTTCAATACTGAACATAGTCCATGCATTCATAGATGTAAAAGTAAAGGTATCCCGTGGAGGTCCATAGGGTTGTGAGATGTTGAGGTTCCCACATTTTCTAGATATTCGGCTCATAGATGGCGGTAAGGTTGTCAGCCCTATGTGCTGGCCGCCCTTTACCCCCAAGAATATTCCTGGTACTTATTTCTGTTAAGAGGCTGAGTCGACCCCAGGGCCATAGTGCGGCTGAAAGGATTAGGTCAATTGAAAAAATCCAGTGACCTCATTGGGCATTTGTAGATGTACTACTGAAATTTTAATGAGTATATCCTAGTACTGTATGAGGGTTGTTAAAGGTTGACTGGATTTTTTCCTTTTTGCAAAAAGAATTGTCAAACTCTTACTCCGTTTCAAGATATTCTTCCTTCACACAAACACAATTTTTCCATTGTCCTGGCAGGTTACTGATGCCAGCAGCATAAAAGGTTTTATCCTGACTGTGTAACTAGTTTCTCTCCTCCTAGGTGCATCTTCATTGGTCCAAACAAATAGAAATCACTGAGGGCTAAGTCAGGGCTGTAAGGAGGGTGGTTCATGATTTCACAGTCCATTGTTGACAATGCTACCTTCATCAAATTTTCCATATGTAGATGAGCACTGTCATGCAGTAATATGATCTTTAACAATGTCTCAGGTCTTTTCTTCCAAATAACTTGGTGCACATCACTTCAAAGCAAGTTCCATGCAATTTCATGCTCTGTAATTCACCCATTTCTCAAAATCAGCTATCTGGCATGGCAGATGTTATATCCTGTACAGTTGTAGGCTGAACATGAGCATAGTGTAGGTTTGAGATTTCTAAATGGCCTTCCCCATACTGTGCATTTAACCTACAAAGAATTTCTGTTGGTTTCACTTTCCCTCTCACTAGGAATTTGATACAGTGCTGTTCTGCACTAGGCATGATAAGGTCTAGTGTCATCCTGTACTAGCTGTAATGAGCACAAGCATGGTGCATGAACATGTGCCAGGTAGTGAGTGCACTGTTGCCATCATCTGTCCATAAAAGTTTTATTTCTGTGGTGCCCACGTTTTGCGGAGGGGAAAAAATGTTCAGGCTAATCTTGAACCACCCTTGTACATGTTTGTCACACCTAAAATCAGCCTTCAATTTCCTACATAGAACTGGTTTTTGTTCAAATGTCAGTGATAGAACAGAAGTATCCCAAAGCAGTGGTTATGAAGAATTCCATCTTCTGAAATATAATGCCACGTAGTCTGCTGAAAGTCAACCAACATTTCAGAGGATTTGCTGGACTCTCAATCCTACCATGCAGATGGCTACACCCAATTATAAGCTGGATTAAGACACTTTCCTGCCTTATGTTGGATCAATCTTTAACTGCATTGGCAGGGTGCTGTCCTGGCACAACATCAAATTGGCTGGCCTCCTGGTGATGAGAGTATCTAGTTTCCTTCAGCTCGTCAAGGATGAACAGGGGCAGAGAACACCAAGAGTATACACTATATTCCCGTGAGTGCAGTCAGGTCTACGTTTGATAGGTAGACTGTTTGACTGACACCTGGTTGAGAGAGTACCATCAGCATATGTGCTAAAACATCTGGACAAGTCAGCCATGGCAGAGCACAGCAGCATCTTGGGACAATGCATCCAGCTCTATAACTCCAGCATCCTCACCACCAAACCCAGACATATGGACCATATAACAGGGAAGCAAGGGAGCTCTATCCCAATAATATTACAAGGAGGATGGCTTCTACCTAAGCAAGTCATGGAAACCTCTCATGTGCTCCCTGAAAGATTATGGTAAGGGTCCCTCACAGAATTCTCTACCTAGGTTCTCCACTGGACCTTGGAAGTCCATGCCCTTATCAGGGTACTAACCTAGCCCTCTATGGCCACCCATCAACCCTAAGCTTCCTTGGCTTTCCTCTGCTGTCTTTGCTATTTTAATTCTCAACCACATGCCTACAACTCATACAGACTTCTCTCTCATCCTCCTTGATTCTCTGTCCACCATACACCCCTCTGACCTCTCTCCTACATCTGCACAATAGCCCTTTCAAGGAACAAACCTAGTCACTCTTCTCCTGTCTCCTCATTGTTCACCCTGGTTCTCTGGAAGAGCAACTGAGAGCTGGTGGGTTGGCTTCCAAGGTCCATTCTGTTTTTATGTGATCCTGAATTTTTGCAAGCCGTATGTTCTTACTGACTGCTTTATTTGGTCTCTTGCTTGACTTATTCTTCAACCCAGAAGCTGGAGGTGACATGTTCCTCAAAAATGTCAGCACTCTTTGAACAGACTACATGGTGTTATATGCCAGAAGATAGAATTCTACTGAATACAGAGTTTCTCTGTTCATATCAAACTGAATTCTGCTTTCACCTAACCTTGCCTTGCTGACTCTCATTTGTTTTTTCCACAGTCTGGGTGGGTTGGTTCTCATGCACTGCATCTGACTGAAATTCAAAATCCTAGCCACAGAGTGGGTAACCTGACAATTTTTCTACAATATTCCTCGGTCCTTCCAAGCAAATGTAAAAGTATTGTTTTAAAATAGCTCACACCACTTTATACTCCCATTCCTCACAATTCTTTATTCACATCACCCTATCACATCTCAATCAGCAGTTAAACTGTGATCTTGACAGCGTTGCCAAGATCACATTGGTGACATGTGATACCAGACTTAGGGTTGTAAGGTTCAAGTGGAAGCTCTCTGAATATTACAACCTTGAAGTTCTGTCAAAGTAACAAGCCATCAATCACCTGGCATTATGTTTGAACCTCAGTATAACACCATGAGAGAAAGAAGAAGGTAGCTGCATACTAACTCAAGTCTGAAGCAGTGTTAGACTGATGCTGATATTAAAAAAGAAAAGGTGATAACTAAAATGCAGAAAACTAGCTGTAGCTGTAGAAACACATAAAGGTGAAGACTGCACCCAAGCACCATGCCATAATATGGTAGGAGTGGAGGTATAGCTCCACAGTTACATTTTTAATGGAACTATATAAAGGTCTTTAATGTATGTCCCGCTTTGGTGGCATTAAATCACTACATATTAGTCAGTAAGTGTTGTCACTTCTTTTGAATAACACACAAATCTAAAAGAATATTTCAGATATGTGAAAACATGTAAATGTGAGAAATAGATACTAAAAAAATACATTTCAAAGTCCTTGACTCATACATACCATTTAGCTGCTTCCAAGTTGGATGAAACTAAATTCTTTTGATTTTTGTTCTTTTCACATTGTTCATCATCTTTTAGTGTTATGTCACTAGTTCCTTTCCTTTGGCACGTATATTGTATGAATAAAAAGTCGGAAGTTTAATGAGTTGTAAATGGTCTTGGAAAATTTACACTTGGTTCCCACATTTTATAATGGCTCTCATGCTGTTAATCTAGTCATTGTCTTCTTGTACTTAACTAAAAGAATGAAACAGTATAGAAAGTTAACAGAACAGAAAGCCCCAGCACATACTTATGAAGAACAGACAGAGCTGCATACTGAAAACAAGTTAGAAGCAGTTACAGAGAATAAATTCCCAGAGATAAAGCTGCATTGTGAAAATGTGCTGCTGAAAAATGTCTGAAATGATGAGACAGTGCAATCTCCATATTATAGGTATTCCATGCCAAATCAACAAATCTGACTGAAACTGCATGGCAGCTGAATTTTTTATTTTAATGAACTTTGTATAACCACATGTTTGTATGATAAATAAAAGTACAAAGTATTTTATCTCGTAACTTTGTGGTTTTGAGGACAAAATGCCAAATTTATGTGACATTGGCTGTTTTCATATGTCATGGAAGTATTAAATGATACACAATATTGTCTTCAAATGGAGATAACCAGATGAAATTAAAACATACAGAATTCATGTAAGCTACCAAATTATGTACAAAACTTTGTTATCACTTGAATTTTTCAAAGTACAAAAAAAGTACAACTGATCAAATCACTCCTGAAAAAAATCGTACTATTGTGTAAATGACAACCAAGCAAAAATTAGAAGACAGGAATCACACTTCCCCTGTTTATAACGTAAATTTCAACTCCTTTCCTTCAGTCTCTTGCTGAGATATGATTGACTGTCTACTCTGGTGCTCATCTGGTCACGTTTCAATTTATGACAGTATAAAACTCACAAGCATGGCTTCTGTTTACTTTGTCTTTCCGTGTCATGCACGTGAATGCGCTACCCTTTTATGCAGGGGCTAAACGTTTTTTCTGAGCAGTTCAGTTATGCTCTTCTGTAAGGAGGTTGTACTGACACCCTGTCCTTGTTGTCAGTGCTTATATTAAATTCAATATGCATTACATATAAACCCAGCAAATTTCAACCTCCTGTGAAAAGTGGAAGGATGGTGATGGACCTTTAGGATCCCTATCCTGAGTCAGATCAATCCAATACATACCATGCCATTCTATCTCTCTTAACACTTTGTGGACTGGCAATTTAAATATTTAAATCACCTTGGGGACTGGCATTTTTAAACCTACTACCCTAACTTGTGCACTGTTCACTTTAAAAATTAATATAAAATTCCTAATTAATTTTATGAACTAAAATTTTTGGAGAACACATACCAATGCTTCTAGAAGTGCTTGAGAGCGTGATATTTCTGGAAACATTGCCCTTTGTGAAGTGGCATTACATAGAACTTGCAATGTAGACCGTCATACTCCTTTTTTTTGTGAACTGTGCAAACACAGCACTGCCTAGAAGGATGCTTCCCTTTGGAATGTTCACTCCTCACAATTTTCACGAGGGTATGTTTCCGCATATCACCCGAGAGTCGCCCAGGGGTGTCCACATGAGGATTGTGTGGGGTGGGAGTTGATGGGCCCAGTCACACTAAGTCCGTGCCTGACTTTGGTTCTGCCGCCACCATCTGGTCTGTAGCCCAGGCCTTTGCCACATTCATCAGAAATGCTTTGTATTTCAATTTCGAATCAGGGTTTAGATTTTTGTAAACCAAAAATGAATTGAAAATGGCACAATTTATTAGCCACAAGGCAACTTTCTTTGTCCACTTTATTATTTTCCTAGGAAGAGAATAATAGGCCAAGTATTGATCGGCTCTATCAACTCCCTTCATGAACATATTATACTCAGAAATACAAATAGGCTTCTTTACTTGTCCATGTCTCCTTTGAACATCAACCATGCTCAAATTGTAAACTGTGGAAATCATATTCACAACATGAGTATCCCTATCTCCAAAAAACAGTTCTGCTACTTCAGACACTTGTGTTGGGTCTGATGGAATTTGCTTCACCCCTGGATTTCCAGTAAACTGTCACAAAGTAGGTGTTTTGTCTGCTTTTCCCCATGTGACTGTCCCCGCAATTTTACTACCTGCACTTCTACCTACTTTCACTTTTACTGTCTGTGGCCAAATTATTTGTTGTCCCCTGTCACTGCCACTGTCTGAATCACTATCACTACATGTCTCAGAAGGAACATCAGATAGCTTGTGGTAGGAGAACAAGTCAGATATTGCTTGGTTTTCAACCACTTCTGTTCTTGACTCATTGCACTACTAACTTCCTGCCTGGTACATAACAGCTTGAAGGGTCAAAGATCATTTTCCTTTGGAGGGGGAACCCAAACAGCGAGATCAAGTTACTGCTTACTAAGCAAACATTCTGGAATAATATTACGCAGTAGTCATTTCACTTGGGTGGCGCCAGAGAAAGGTATAGTGTGTTAGAATCTAACGTGTACTAAAATCATAATAATAGCCACCAGTCCGCCACGTTTAAAAGCGCTGGGCATAAAAATGTGCCACCAGTCCACAAAGTGTTAAGATCCATTTTAATATTATACATCCACCTACATCTTGGTCTTCCTAGTGGTCTCTTTCTTTCTGGCTTTCCCACCAATATCCTGTATGCATCCCTCCTCTTTCCCATTCTTGCTACATGCCATTCCCATCTCATCCTCCTTGACTTCATCATTGTAATTATACTTGGTGAAGAGTACAAGTATGAATCTCCTTATTATGCTGTTTTCTCCAACCTCCTGTCACTTCATCTCTTTTCAGAACAAATATTCTCCTCAGCACCCTGTTCTCAAACACCCTCAGTCCATTTTCTTTCTTTAATGTCAGAGACCCAGTTTTATACCCATACAGAACCACAGGCAAAATTACCCACACTGTATATGAAGGAAACACTATTAATAAAATAAATTATTCTTAACATGGCGTTACCTTGAGAAGTTCTGTGTACTGAGGCCAAAGTCTGTTGCTTCTGGACACTTTATATATTTGGATACGAACTGCATTTGAAAGAGAATAAACACATAATTAGATAATTTGCAAATAGTCTGAAAGAAATTTTATGTGATCTAATTCCAAAACCACTGTACTATTGGACAGTTACTTCTACACAGAGCTAGGGTCTAATTCCTCTAAACAAGAACTGTCCAAGAAATGTAACCAATTAAAAATAAATAAGTATCTTCTCTCCTGTATAATAAACAATGTTTGTTAAATATACTTTGGGGAACATTTTAATTTTGCTGCAATGTCATGGAAGTATGTAGATTCCACTGATTTCTGGTATGCAAATATTATGCAAAAATTACATAAAACTTAAAATAATAATCCCATTAAAATCTACAAGTTTTAACTGGACACATTCTGTAATATAGTGGAATGAATGTGAAACAAAATACAAGGAAACATAATTTCCAATATAGTTTTGCAACATTATATCTGTGTCCGCAATAAATGAACATTAAGGCCAATGATGTATGCAGAATTACAAAAGTTTATTAGGGAAATAATTTTACCCCACTGGAGAATACATTTTCATTGAATGTTGTCAACCAGTCATTCAGAACACAATTAACAAGCTGCATTGTGCTGTTCATCTCCTCATTAAAGTACAGCCATGTTTAATATAGATACTGATTAACTAATATTCATAAAACTCAGTATGAACAGTATGCCATATGATATCATCTCTTCTTTGTCTTCAACAATAAAACATGATGATCATGTAAACTCCTGACACACAAACAGCACTGATGATTTTCAGTGCAAGTATCTTTTAAGTATCCTACAGTGATATTCTTTGGATATTGCCTATAAACAGAAACAAAATTAAAAATAAATAATTTGTAATTACTTTAGGATGATGTTTAACTGCTGAAATCTATCAAAATAAAAACATCATGATATCTTCTCAGTTTATTCTGAATGACACTAGCTATTTTAATGGTTTACATTTCCTGTTCACAGTTACCCAGTGAATGGCTGTATTGTAAATCGAAAATTTGGATCATGAATTAGAATAGTCATCAGCTTGGAAAGAAAAGCCACAAAGTGTAAAGTGCAAAAACTGTTTACCAGAAGGAGACGGTTACTTTTGGTTTGCCACAGTTTCTTGTGTTGTTTCTCTCTAATTGCTACAATTTCTCTGACTTCTAGTGTTCTTTTAAACTACTGAATCTGCAGCCACATTACATTTTACACTGAATGGCATTAGTTAAAAAGCACATTATTTTTATTCCTATATAAATGGCATTTGAGGTGAACTTTTAAAACAAAAATTGTCTCATAAATCCACAAAATAAACATGGAACATACTGTCATCTTATAATAAAACTTCACTAAGTTCATAATGAAATTTAAAAGTTTAGCACAAAGTTTCAAATTTTTATGACAGTAAAATTTATTTCATGCAAATTGGCAAATACAATACATTCTTTGTCTCTTCATCATAAACCAAAATCACTCCATGCTAGGCCTGAAGAAGAAATGGTGAAAAATAAAAATAGTCAGAAAGTTTTCATTTAGAGAAGCCATGATACAGCATAAAAGAATATCCTAATTTAGTTCTAGTTTGATCACATTACAGTAACAGAAGGAATCTTTGTAAAATCAGTGATTTTATTTTTTTACTAAATATGTACCATATATTATTTTAAAATGTATCTTTATTTTCAAAAGGGGATAATCATATATAATTGATGTAGTCTTGAACATGCTTTTCCTCATTAAATAATTGTATTTTCTACCACACGGTATCATTATACAAAGAACATCCTTGTATGTATTCTTTGATACCATAAAAATCGTATTTTCTGCTTTAAAATAATGCTCATCTTTCAAATGTTTTTCCTCATTATGAAAACTACATTTTCCATTATTAAATGCACATCAGATATTTTCTTTCAGATATCATATCCCAGTGTCTGTTAGAGCTCTCTAGAACCTAGTGCTCTGCAAAACTGCTCAGATCAACAGTAAAATTTTTATTCCAGGCACTTCTAATGGAACTTAGTTTGACACAGGACATCTTCTGAAGTTCATTTACTGTATCTGACAACAAGACAAATCAAAGAGCCAGTTTCAATATATCATTTTTAAACATTAAAATTACCATACTGACCCTGATATAGGACCTGAAAAAGGGGGGGAAAAAAAAATCTTCTACACTATTACTTCCAACTAATTAGAATAAATTTGACATTTCTACTTACCTGGTATTCATTAAGTCTTGTGTTACCCATGCTGACAATCATGTGTAGTACAAAGTATGTACACATGAACAGGTAAAAGACTACAAACACTGCTAATGCAAGCCATATTCCCCATTCATGAGGAATGTCATATATTACAGAGTGTACCACAAAGAAGGTATTAATTGCAATAACCACTACTGATAAAGTTATGGATGCTATTTTGTTGGCTCTGGAAAAGACAAGAAACAATAAAATATATAATAAATGTTATGTTAAACTCCTAAAAATGCTACAGTTTAATTAATAACAGAGCATTTACTGCTGATTTTACTCATGGAGGTAAAAGTTAAAATATGTCATTAACATGTTCACAAGAACCTGCCAGTGTTCCCTGTCCAGAGGAAGATGACTCAAGTCCATCCAGCCCGTTTTTTTAAAGATATGTTTTAAAATTATCCTTCCATTTGTGCCCAAGTTCCTTACTAAGTTATCACGCTTGTAGCATCAAAAGATTTAAATGGTTGCTAGACACATTTATGATAAAACTTGAGTACCTAAGACTGAAATTGTCTGTCATATGAAAATTATTACTTACAAGCCATTGACAAATTCTCCCATTATTTGTGGATTGCTGGTGAAAGCAATAGTTGGAATTGTTGCAAATGGCAGTTGCAGACTCATGACAGCATTCAACAAATCATTCATACCAGTCAGGTTATTAATATCCAAGTAGAAAGCCACAAAAAATGTTGGTACAACAGCAATTGTACGGGTGAACAGTACCCGCTTCCATCTTGACCACTGAAGATTTAAGAAGCCCTACGAGCAGACACAGTTACATATCATGTTAGTCTTCACAGTGAACAATCCAACCTTATGTTTAAGGAGATACACATTATAGAACTTACTTTCACTGGTGGGAAAGCCAGAAGGAAAGAGACCACAGGGAAGACCAAGGCGTAGATGGGTGGACAATATTAGAATGGATCTTAGAGAGATAGGATGGGATGGTATAGATTGGATAGATCTGGCTCAGGATAGGGGCCAGTGGAGGGCTCTTGTGAACATGGTAATGAACCTTCGGATTCCATAAAATGCTGCAAAATTCTTAAGTAGCTGCAGAATTGGCAGCTCCTCCAGAAGGGCTCAGCTCCATGAGTAAGTAAGTAAGTAACCCCTCACCAGAAGTATCAAAGCTGCATGACCTCAATAACTCATAAAGTATTGTAAAATAATCAAGAAGAATGTGTACCATATGCATCAGAAGAAAATACATTATCTGCACTCAAGAGGATAACCTCATCTACTCACAACTGACTGCTAATCAGAAGCTGTTCTTTATAAGCTTAAGTCCAGCACAGCCACAAACACTGTTCACTCATATGCCACTCACAATTCTCTGCAAACCCACAAGCCCCACCCTAATTTCACCCATAATTTGGTGCGTGTGCTCATGTGAGAGTAAGTGCATTGATTTATACTATGTGAAGCAGTGTCAGTCAATCCAATACTTACATATGTAAACTATATCATAGGTTGTTCTAAGGGCCACTACTGGAATACATGTAGTATTTGATGTTACATACAAAACGCGGATCCATACATCCACTGCCCCATACGCCTTCATGGCATTGTATTTAATTCAGTAAGCACAGAAACAATATACATAAATGATGACTTGAATTAGTCATTATATGTCACTGAAGAATGCACCTTATGGCAGATCTATGACTGTATATTTTCCCATTAATGACATATTTACATTACACACTTGTTAATGAAAATAATCCTAGTAAGACACTTGAACAGGATCCATACCATCTGTAGATCCCTCACCTCATTATATACACCACACAATCATAAACTGAGTTCGTGAAATGAATGAAAGGAACAACGTCAGTTTTCTTAGGTCTAGTATATACTGTATTTTCTCTTTGTTCTTCAGTATAGTAAACAATATCAAAGAAATTAACCCAGACTGCCTTCTTGTTTCACTTTTTGATAAGCTGCTCACTTCACACAGGCATACTATTTAAAGCTTTGTATTCAAGTCCAAGCTCTTCCACTTCATTGCCATAATTACAGGATTTTCAAAGCTTTGCAGTCAGTGCAAACTGAAATATAGTAGATGTCTCATGTGGCGAAACCTTAAACATGCACATGCATAGTTGTATTCTGTGACACTGTCCTACATAGATGAAGGGGAGCCCAGGGGAAGAAAAGGAATGTGTGTGAGGCAAGGATGGGAAGATAAAGCATGGTGCAGTGGTCATAACAAGATGTATAGGGTGAGCTGTTTACATTTACAATCCGAAATGCAAACTTTCTCCTGGACAAGGGTAGAGAACAGAGGGTGAGTTAACTTGAACTTTACAGGCCGCTACCCATACACAACTTCGGAAGCAAAAAGTATAGTAAGTTATGGAAAACAGTGGTGGCTAGTTATAAATCACTCATTATGACAAACATCCCAGAAAAAATCCACCATTTTATGCAATGATTTACCATACGTACAACATTAAGAAACTGATGATTCCAATGGCTTTTGTCACTATAATGAAGTCCTCAGTATAAGCCATACTCGTTCTACCATGGTTTCACTGTACATAAAATAAATGTGGACAGAATATACAACAGGACATCACTATTTCATAGCACATTCATTAATTTGTGGAAAGAGTTTCTTAAAGGGGGAGGTCAGTGATAACTTACTTCCATTGCAAACTGCCCTGCATATGTGCCAGTCATTGTGCTTGACTGACCAGCTGCCAGAATGCCCACACCCCAGATGTACATGGCAGCTGCCCCAAATGCACAGCCCAAGAAAACGCCACCCTTGAAAAGGTCTGCATCAACAAATTCAGTTCTATCCTGTGTCTGAAACAACAACGAGACGGAAAGTGAGAAGAAATATGTCCCATGTAGTGATGTGCGTCTATCACTACTTAATAATTAATTTCAATCATCTCATTTAATTTTTTCATGTCAGATTTCTCCATTTCACATTCTGCTGGAGTTCTTAACCTGTTATCCTTGAAAACCAAGCAATGACTGATTGATCTATCAATAATCTTAAATTTCAGATAAATATAAATTATATATATTTACCTCAAACACATAACTGAATGTGGAATTGTTCTCAATGCACATATCATACTGGAAAAGAAATCATAATGAACATTTTTAACACATACAAAAATGAGGCATTTCATCCACAAGCTTCAGAATTCTAAATTCTATGATGTTTCAGTACCCGAATTCAGCCAATATTTGGTATTGTGTCAAGGTATTTACAGTACAGAGTCAAGTACAAATATGCATTAATGCAATAATGTTCAAGATATTCAAAATCCTACAAGTCAATACACCTGCGAATAAGAAGGGCACAAAAATTCTGTGGAAATAATTTTGAGCCTTGCATGCTTCTAGCATACTGAGCAAATGTAATTCGCTTCTGTACTTCTCTACTGCCTGGTAAGATAATGCTGTCTCTTCCAAGCCTGTGTGCTAGTTGATTTAGTTGTTTTCATCATATTATAAGTATGTTTCAATTAGATATATGTATGACACTGCAAGGTGAAAATAAATTTACTGTGAAGAATGTTTACAACTATGATGAGATAATTTTTCTCTGACGCCACACTGCTAGAGTTCTGCATTCTCTTTGCACGAAGTCTATACTGAAGTATCAACTGAAGAATATAATACATTCTATGACAATGAGTAAAGCCAGTAATAAAAATTGTTTTCTTATTAGCTTTTTATAACTCATAACATAAACTAACACATTTTCATATAAATTTCTTTGGGATTTATTTTGCTTCTGTGTGTATCTTTGGTTGTCAGCTGAAACTCACCACTTGTCCATTGGTCTTCTCAAATAGTCCAAATGCAAACACAGCCACCACAAATACATTGATGATGAAGGAACAAAATAAAGCAACACATGATTCAATGAAGAAGTAATAGTTGGCCTCCCTGACTTTCTCAGTTTTTGTTCGGTCTACATCTCGTGACTGTTGAGAAATAAAATATAGTGTCTATTAATAGTCAACCAACATAAATTTACATACTGTGAACAAAATTTTCTGGGAAATTTTAAATAAGAACCTGAATTAAAACCCCACACTCCATGGGACAATGTTATGTTCTTTAAGTGCATGGTTAATGTTATTGTTTCTTTATTTCTTGGTATAGTTACTGACATTCTGCAAACTGCATTAGTTATACAGTGTTGTGAAGAATGAATGGGAAGGATATGCAAAGAAGCACCCACCACCATGTTAGGGTACTAGCACAGTATTTTCCTGGAGGTGAAGCAGGAAAAAGGGGACAGTACAGGGCAGTAAACCACTACCATCTTCCTACTGATCTTCTCTTTCTTTATGACTGCTACTTGAGATCATCCATGGTTAAGGTTTTCTATACAAGAAAATATCTCAATGACATGGCTACAACAGAATTCTGTGGGCATGGTATCGTCACTATCCAGGAATTTAATTAGTAGATAGTAGGGCTATAGCCAATAACAGGGACAGTTGAATGAAATAATAATAAAATAACAAATCAAAGACATACAGAATGAGGGCTATGACCAAGCAAAGAAACAGATCCAGCATGGCAGCTCTTTATAGACAGGGTTATGGACAGGCTGGAACACCTAGAAAGCAGCCAAGAAAGCCTAACTACAATGATAAGGGCCAGCCAACAAAAGTGGTAGGCCACAGTACACTCCACCTGGTCAGCCCAGGACTGCAGCAAGGAATTTGGCAATGGGATTATAAGGGACAAGGCAGCAGTTCAGAAAACAACTCCTGGAAGATGAAGCCCAGGCAGGACATGGAAGTGGCAAGAGTGCTTTTGACCATGCCCTAAGACTATGGGCTGCAAAGGGAGCAGTTGGGTTGCTAGCATAGCTATGAATAGTAAGGGTTGGGGCCCCCATGTGAGCAGTCACCAGAGACCAACAGACAAGGGGGTTAGCAACGACTATGAGGGCAGTGTCGGAGCACTGGCCATCTCAGCAGATTACCAATAGGGATTCCCAGGAACACTTACTGGAGAATGCTGACTGGGACCCAAGAAATGAGTATGGGAGGACATAAGAAGAAAGCACTGATGCCATCACTCCTGTCCCTTTGTTACGAGATCAGTGTGTCAGCAAGGATGGCAGCCTAAATGCCAAGAGGTCGATAACGGACAAGTCATGCCCTGTGAGCACTCACAATGAGCATCACTGATGATCAGGCCACACATCACTGCAGGACTTCCAAGAAAAGAACTGACCCAGCTGTATGTCCTAGAGACACTTCGGGGAGATGCTCATTGTCTTGAAGGGGGTGCTAATGGAACTGACCCTGCACAGGCACCCTCAACAGACTTAGGACTTCCATCACCACGACCACAGACAAGTTCAACCTGGGGCTGGACATCTTGCACATGCACGACACCTCTGGATTTGAGGCGCTGGGTGCTATTCATCCTCTTAAGAAGGACAGAAGCAGCAATGTGTACTGGCTTGTGTGAGAGAGTTGTGACAGTACAGCTGGAAGGCTGGAGGTGGAGCACAGTCCAGCAGTGCTGGGTTCAAAGGCCACCCAGTGACCAGGAGTGTCCATGGCAAGAATTCCAGGTAAACCTCCAAGGGATCTGACTGTTAGGATGGGTGGAAACATACTAATGGAGGTGCATCCCCTAGAGGGCCATGTGATGCAAAGCATACCACCCGAAGGAGGAAGAAGCTGGACGATGGTGACATGTCAACTTCCAGGATGGGAGGACACTGTTGATTGCAGTCCTGCCTACAAGAGTCCAAGCCTGGTATACCAGTATAGTGTCGTGATGCCAATATTTATTGGGCATCCAAACATGTAGCAGGGAGTTACCCTCAGAGCAGAGGTGGTGGCAATTTGTGTGGATGGACCACCACCTTACCAGGAGGCTTCCTGTGATAAGCAGCCTTAAGAAGAGACCATTGCTATATGATGCCTGAAATCCATATACTTCAGAATCATGAAATATTACAGAAATATTGCAGAAGCATTCACTGGCTAAGCAAGAGAAACACAAACTCCCTGGCAGCCACAATAATGGTGGTACTGATGAGACAGAGATTTTTCACCATTCCACAAGGTGATATACAGGAAGTCTGTGTAGACGAAACAGAGGTGGGAGTCCATGACAGCACAGCACAGAGGACCAAAGCAATATCAGTCTAACGAACTGTGAATGATTGAAATTATTTGTAAACAGTTGTAGATAGAAGTATTCAGACTTAAATAAAATCCAAACCCATTGTATAGTCACTTATCATGTGACAATATTTTCATTAATATATCACTGTTTCACTGTTTTGCTTGGCATTATTGGGACTGAATACTGAAAGTCTGTGTTTATGTTCCAAGTTATTTAAGCTACAAGTGCTCAGCCCCAGTCATGACAAAGAAAGTGAAACATGAAATTATATTCCTCTGTGACAGCAGTGATCTGCCAGAAGGTAAAATATGAAAACAATGTGGACTGACTTTGAAAATGTTCATCATTTTCAAAAATACAGATAAACTACATCATTCTCTTTTGTGTGATGGGAGACTAGTGAAGAGGAATGAGTATGAAATGTAGAAAATGAGAACTTCAGTAATGCCCTTTTAATTCACTTTTGCAGGAAAGAAGAGCGTAATAGTTAACAGGCAAGTGATTAAGGTAAAAGCCACGAATTCTGTACAATATCTCAGCAGCATTCTACATTCAGGAGCATATGAGTGGGTACGTAGGTTGGAGAAAATGTTCAACTTCAGACTCGATCAAAATGATGCGAAGAATAAAAAAAATACAGTTAAGGTTAATCATACAATAATACAATCATAAGCAATTCAATGAAGGTGGGTGGGGGGGAGCATGCACAGGCATGTGTGTATGTGTGTGCGTGCGTGTGTGCATGTGCAAGCATCTGTTAAAGCAAATGTTCAAAATCAGCAAATGTTGACAAATACAAGTGATTTTTTTTACAATCACAATTTCAGCTGGTGAACATTCAGAATTGTAACATTTTCTACTTGGACACACATTGGTAAACGTAGGCACTCACATTCATGACCCACTATGAAGAGCTACTTTCTTACAATATGCCAAAATATTGTAATAAAAAATGGCATATCTTCACAGCCTTCTCAAGCCTGATCAAAAAATATTTACTCTTCCCATCACATGAGTGACATCAGCTTTCAAATGAGTGGTCATACAACTCTCAGGCACAGCCTTTCACTCATAGTTTTGACCACACAAAAATTACTTATAGAATCCTATATATAGATGCCCACTATATCTAATATTTACTGTTGTTAATATGTACCTTAACCAGGGCTGAATGCAGGTAAAGGTTGTGAGGCATAATGACAGCTCCAATAATGCCAACAGCTTGCAACAGCACTGTGCCAGTACAGTGGTCACACCATGGGAAGAACATTCCTTTCAACACCTGACCTTGGTCTGGAGATGCCACCACATACTATAATTGAATTGCAGTTATAGTTATACAAGTTGAGGTATATACGGTTTACGTTAAATTTTTGGCTGAGAACACAAATACCATGATGAATAATGTACTATAATGTACTAATGTAGCTCAAATATAAGGCAAGTTTTTTTAGTGCTGCCTCTTAAAAAAGGACTGTCCTACATGCAGGTCATTAAGAACAAATGTGATGAAGATGATTATAAGGAGTGCAAATTGTTAATCCTAGTGATATTCTCAAATTCTATCCCCCAACAAATTATTTTCTGACTTTTTCATTGGAAAAATAGGGGTTGCCTTATATTCACGCTTATACAAGTATGTATTATAAGCTAAAAAACAAATTGGTCTGAAAGTAAATACAGTCAACTCTCGATTATCTGGGGGCAGATTAACTGGTTTGTGGCTTAACCGGGGCTACTGAGGCTTTTTTGAGGCTTATATGTTGTTTAGTATTCATTCACTTTTCTTTCACATGGCGAGTTGTAACACTATTTTAGCACTATTGTGAACCGAGCTCTGCATTCTTTGGTCCCGTTATGCTAACACAATGTTCTAGGGTAGGGGTGAAAGAATGCAAGGATTTGTGGAATGTTTCAAGGACAGATACATCGCCCCAGTTATTATCTTTGTATCAATCTTCAAGTGCGTTAGCAAAATGTCAGGGTGTAAAAGGAAGCATGTTGTGTTAAGTATTCAACAGAAAAAGGAAAATACCGCGAAAAAGTAAATGACAATATTAAATTTTTTTAAGTGTTAATATTTGTAAAAAGTGTTGGATGTTGTTGAAGACTGTGATTGAAATAACTAATTCATACTTTAGTGTAATGTAAAAAAAGTATTAAATAGGCCATGAGATGACATAAAAATGAGGTTGAATAAATTTAAATACAGGCAGGCCCATAGTATTATGAAGGTACAGTATTACAGTACTACTTTTAATAAAATTTGTCTTAACCAGGTTTTTGATTAATCGTGATTTCCATCCCCACCATTATCCCGGATAATCAAGAGTTGACTGTACATATATTATACTGTCACTAAATCAACATCTGCAAACAATCATTCTATCTCTTACATTTACATAAAAAAGTAATGATGACATTAAGTGAAAATAAATTAAGGAAATTCTTATAAGTATTATTTTCTAAAGTTCAGCCAATTAACATTGCAAAACTCAAAATTTCAAGATATATGAAGCAGTAACTTTGCTATTTGTTAGAAATGTTTCTGAAGTGTGGCCTTTCATTTTCACATAAGAAGACAATCACAACTGACTGAAGTATTCTGAAGAATATTTGAAAGGCTTTAGTCCATTAACTAGGATATTATGTGCTTAGGAAATTTGTACATCATATTAGTCTTTCTGTATTGTAACAAACTCAAGCTCACTGTGATGAAACGAATACGTGATATGGATGACAGACAAGAAATGCATACAAAACTTATATGGGGAAACCTCTGGGAAAGGAGCCTCTTGGGAGATCAGGACAAAAAGATGATGAAAAGAAAATGGAGCTTAAGAAAAGAGGATACCAGGTTACAAAATATCAGCAGTGTTAAACCTTTGCTCTCGACTACCACACACTTACTTAGGAAGAAGTGATGAGAAATATTACATACTTCATAGCCAAATGTGACAGCCATTACTGTGATGAGGAAGGCAAAAAGGAACTCAAGCTTGCGCAACCCATATTTGTCCAGGAGCAGGAATGTGAATGTGTCAACAACTGTGATAAGAACGCCACCCCAAAGTGGAATTCTATATGAAAAAAAACACAATATCTCAGGTAATAAATTTCAATAGCATAACCATATCACTAAATATTGTTATTTTCAGTCACTATGAAGCACAACAGGTATGTACTTACACTCTATTGGAGAGGAGGAAAATTGCTATAGCTGTACCTATGACTTCTTGCATATCAGAACCAATGATGGCAACCTCAACCATTAACCAGAGAATAATACGTGGAACTTTCTGATACTGCCTATAGCACATCTCAGCTAGGTGAAGGCCGGTTACAACCCCAAGACGAGCTGCCAGTCTCTGCATCACAAGTCCGAGAATGGTAGCTGACAGCAACACCCACAGTAGCTAGAAGGAAAGAAACTTATACAGACCATAACCAAACAATCAAAATTTGGTCCCTCACTACAAGGGAATTATATACATTATATCAATTCAAATATTATCTCTTAATCCAAGGTAAGAACACAAATTACAACTGAATCATTGTCTCTTATTCTGAGGGAAGAATATACACTACAACAATTTTAGCACTGTCTATTATCCTGAACGAAGAATGTAAGTTAAGACAATTGTAAAACTGTCTGTTATTCTGAAGGCAGAATATAAATTACAAGTTCTTGACAACATGAGCTAGTGAAAGTATGTAGTCCTAAAAGGGGTTAATATAGTGAAGGATATTGCAAGTTTGAGAGTGGACCAGTAATACTTCAGTGTGTCCCTGACATCATGACAGATGTGTATTATTACAGACCCACATGCTGTATAGTCTTATCAGAAAGTCATGAGCAACAACCATCACTGTCAAGTGTGTCTTAACTATTGGTTGTAGTATTTATTAGTCTCTGCCACCAACAGCTGCATCACCTACACGAAGAAGAGAAGACGGTAATAGGTGTACAACATTTGTTCACGGGGGGGGCCTGTTGCATCTTCCAACCTGCTTAAGTCTCAAATGAAAAATTACAACATTCTTAGGATTCTGGTGGTGTCCATCACCACCAAAATTCCAAGACTGTTGTAGTTTTAACCAAATTTTATCTTTGCTTCTGCTTGCATCAGTCCACTTCTACCATACTTTATTCAAGCTTTCTCCCATTAAGATGAGGCTGCTTCAACAGAATCATTCTCCAAAATGAGTTGCTGTTCAACATAAATTTTGTCCTCAAAATCTGTACCATTACAGTTAGGAGAAACTAACCAGAAATCCTTTGAGTGTGCCCTAAAAAGATTTTTACATGCTAACTCTTTTTATGCATTAAATGAGTAGTTTAATTACAAATGTACATAAATTTGAATGCTTAACGTCACATTTTAATATAGTTAGTATGGGAGATGTGAGGGGTTGTATTGTGGTTACTAGTGACTTATGTCTGTTAATCAGGATATTATCTTTTGCCTCGTATTGTTGTATCTGTTAGACAGTTAATGTGGGTGATCTTGGTTGTGTGGTTTGTGTTACTTTGTGTATGTGTTTGATGACTATTTCCGCATCCTGGGTCTGTTCCCTGTATAGATGTTTATGGAAAGTGGAGGATGTGTATGTATGTATATGACGAGTCCTGTATC